TGTTTTTATTTACTTGTATACTATGTCCCAACTGAGAATGGACCGGAAGTGAAGCAGCTGCATTGGAATTCGAAAAAATGTAGTTACATCACTAATGACGTGTTATAATGATATTCATAGATACATGGCTGATATTTCGGCTGTGTTGTTTCACTCTTAAACGAGAAGGTGCGGTATAAAAGGCGGGGCCCTGGGCATGGTGGCTTCCGTTTTATTCACGTGTACTGAAAAATGTCGGCTCTAGATGGTGTTGCTTCTTCAAGGAAAAACGCAGGAAGAAAGGGGTTTTGGTACCAAATGGACTTCCATTTTACTCTCAAAGAAGACAAGGACCAGTTCTAGTTAGGCTTGATCGAGTTAAGGGGTCTTTAGGCACTAAAAGAAGGCACTGGAACTGCTGTCTCATTCACTCGCCGATTTAAAAAGAGAATCATTCTGAGGCTCTATCACATGATACTAGTAGTTCTTCTGCTATGCTCAATACTTCAGGTAGTTATAATGTGTTTAAATTAGTGATTATATATAAATAAGGTATAGGTGATGGCCAGGGACGAAGAGCAGCCATTTTGTGCATAGATATAGGATCGGCTGTTGGGAAACATACATTAGTGTTAGTGTGGTATGGTTGACCAAAGGATGATCAGTTACAGACAGGTATTCTTTGTTAGTATTATTATTATTATTACTATTATTATCAACATCATCAAAACTATTCATAATTTTAGATCGTCATGTGATTTGTGCTGAATTTCGATTCAATGCCAGTTGTGAGTCCTGTAATCGTAACTCAAGTTTATTAGGCACTAGATACAGAAGTAAGTATTATTTGTAATGTAAAGTAATCATATAGTGGCATTAATATTTTTAGGCTCGTACTAGCATTTTTCTTGTACTGGTATATTACCATCACAGTACTGCCATATTTTTGTCGGCATCACTGGGCACAGTTGGGAAGAGGTACACAGATACAGGAGGCTCCTTACCATCCCAATATCTATTCAACCCTATAATGTTTATATTTTTAAAAATTTAGAATAATATTTTTGTATTTACTTCTTCCAGTAGATCGTTGAATGTTACAACTGCTACCAGTACTAGGATCTGAATGAAGACCATGTTGGGGTCTTTTGCTGGAACCACTTATACTTGATGATGGTGGCTGATATATGGTAGTCGGCAGGGCTGTCTGGTCCCAGTGGTGGTGGTTCTTGGGCTGGTTTTCTGTGTAGTAGTGAGGGCTATTCCCTTGCCACTATCACTTATTACCTGCCTGACAGCATCATTGACCGTGTTTCTTAGGCTGTTGGCAGATTTTTCAGAATATACAATATAATATTTGATAATAATGTAAAATTATTACTTCAAGTCAATTATACCATTTCTCTCCTTGCTATGCTTTCTAGGTGTGCTTGTAGGTTAACTCTCTCACCTTTGCTAATTTTAATGTTTTTATAATGCGTTTTGCTAGTGATTTAGCCATGATAAGAACAGTGCCAGTGCGGGAGCCATTTTGTTATTTTCAAATTTCATTCAATCTGGCCGCCATATTGTGCCCAGGGCACCTCCTTTTATACTGTGATCGACGGAAGCGATTTCATGACGTTGCGTGAATGGTTTTATAGTGCACCTTCTTGTTTAAAACAGTCTTGTTCTTCCTGATAAGCAGTATAATAGCTGCTGGAGTCAACTAGTCTTCATAAAGGCCATCATTATCAGAAGATTTTGCTCTATTAGCATTTTAAAAGAAGAATTATCTCGACCACATGTGCTTATGTAAACTATGACATCATAGAACGTCATTGCGGTTAGCTTTGGTATGCCATTGGGTTTATAGGGAGAACCCGGTTCTCAGGGTTCCCAAAGGCTGAGAGACCCAAGACCTGAGATCCTGAAGCGGCATTGGGCGACTAAGAACCTGTAAAAGTCTCATTGTTATCTCATATTCCTATAAAAAGTTATTCCAGTTTTTCTTGGTCCAAACTCAGTTGGGACATAGTATACCGTATAGCGAAAAATTTCCATGGCCCAAAAATTTCGTGGATCTGTTCGAAAATCAATTTCGTGGCTTTAATTTTCATGGTTTTCTACTTTTCAGCCATCTTGAACTGTATTGAATCAATTTTTGCGGATTTTATTTTTGTGGATTTTGAAAAAACGTGAAATCCACGAAAATTTTGGGCCACAAAAATTTTCCGCTATATGGTAGCTTTGCAGCTGCTTGGAAAGGTATATGCATGGAAAAGTAGAGTCAAGTGTTTTTAGCCTTAGCAATATGAAAAAAATATTTTGGTGGGTTTCCTTACCATCTAAACTATTACATTAAAGGACACCCACCAAGAGAGGCATTACTAGTACTATAGGATTAGTAGGGCATTAACATTCATGTGACTAAAGCATGCTAAAAAGACTGAGAGTTGACTGTTTAGCATCCTAAACAGTCAACTGTTTAGGATGCTATTACGGTATCAGTCAGTTATCAATATTAGTGCTACATATGCAGCATTTATTCCCACGTACCCGGCAATACCGTATAGCGGGATATTTTCGTGGGGTCAAATTTTCGTGATTTGGGGTGGTTGAGATTTTCGTGGGTTAAATTTTCGTGATAACTGTATTATAAGAGCCTCTGGCAAAGCCTGGTGAGCTTTATCTACCTCTCTCTCGACAGCTTTAATCGTTTTTGAGGGTAAGCCAAGTGTACTTTCATCAATGGAAGCTTCATTGGAAGCGGCTTTAAGTATTTCTCCATTTCATTGCACGCCTATACCGAATATGTGCTAAATTTTCGTGCGTTAAATTTTCATGAAAGTATCTTGGACACGAAAAACACGAAAATAAGACTCCACGAAAATATCCCGCTATACGGTAAGTAAAATGGGCCGCTTTCCTATCCCCTTTACTAGCGCTAGCAACTGTGAAGTGTCCGTCCATCCGCCTACACATTCATTGTCTACTGTACATGGGATGAGGGGAGCCCAGGGCTACTGATGACTTCATTTCCATTCGAACAGTACATATTGCATGGGAATCACATGATCTTAATAAACTCATTCACGAAAAGTTACTCATGCCTCACGCACTGTTCTAATGAAAGTGAAATCAACAGTAGCTGGCTACAGAGAATCATAGGAAGAGCTGGTAATGAAAACCCGTGCAAAAGTGGAGGGTTCAGGGTTGGTTCCCCAAATCTATGCTTGCTCTTCTACATACATAAAAAGGGGTCAAGCACAAGTGGTCAAGCCTAGTCAGGCCACGCCTGACTAGGTCAAGCCCGGTATATCTCTGCCATGTCTACCCCTGACAGTTTATCATTGGTATGGTATATACATTTAATCTATGATAAATGGCTAGAAAAGATCTACGTCTTACCTTGCAGGCGGGTGTGGCTTTTAGCCACCCCACTTTATAGTTTAGCAAACTGCTTCTGTGTCCTCTGCCCTGAGTTTTCTTGATTCCAAAAATGAAAAATGAAGAGCGATGCCGATGAGAGGAGAGCACGACCAAATAGGCGTGGTCTAGACCTGTTTACGCCACTCCTCCTATTAAAACAAAATGGCTGACATGACGTTTCTCCTGCCCTCGATTTTTCCAGAGGAGGTAGGACACGGTTGACCTTTGATTAATAATTACAAAGTTCAATTGCATTCCATTGGTATCACGTGATGCAAAATGGCCAAATTCTTCCACTAGTACCACTTCTAACAATAATTTAGAGCATCAAGATAGAGTCAATGGGACTTTCATTATTTCACTAGAAACTATGATAGGTGCAGTCATTTTTAACATCTTAAACTAGCGAAGATTGATTTATCAGATGAAGTAAAGAAGAGAATCAAAGTTAAGATGCACTGTCTCTTTCTCCTTCTTATATTCATGTCTATAATCAAATAAGAAATATTCTCCATACAATGGTGATTTTAACAACTGTCAAGGGTCGTCATTGATCTCTCTAGTTTCTGCAGTAGTAGCTAGTTTTGTGATACAATCATCAGAAAGCTGCCATTTTTCATCACGTGATACCAATGGAATGCAATTGAACTTTGCAATTATTGCTCAAAGGTCAACCGTGTCCTACCTCCTCTGCGATTTTTCATTCTGACCCATTTCCATAGGCGGCTGCAGAATTTTGAATTTACCCAGGCTCATTAATTATTCATAACAATTGGGGGTGTGGCCAATTAATTAAATGACTGACATTAATGATACTAGCCACTTGAAGCCACTTACCACACAAAAATAACTGTAAAGATGAACTGATACTGTGTATAAACAGTTGTGGTTATAAAAAATGAATTAAAGTGATAATCTCACTCCTAATAATAACAAAACACACCTTTTGGGTGTGGTTTTGATTGAAAGCTACCCAGGCATAGCCAGGGCATGCCTGGGCCTGCAGCCGCCTATGCCCATTTCCTCCATGTTTTATCCGTAATCTGACTCAGTAAACTCAGCTCTTTCCGTATATTTATGCTAAATTTTTATTTTCTACGCATGCGCAGTTCAACAATAGATTTCATTCACATCACAAAATTTTCACAAAAAAAAAACTGAAAAACTGAATTACAAATCTAAAATAATAACAAATTACGACCAGTCTAGTACGGGTTAAACTACAAAAATGAATTTTTCAATTCTTCAGCAACTATACTAAGATTAGAATTATTAACACGCAAAAAAGCTTCAATAACATTAGATAAATATTCTTGCTTGTTGATAGAGGACTTTAGTTGTGATTCAATATCATGAATAAGTCTTGTAGCCTTGTCATCAATTGATACTCCTGTGGCTGTTATGACATAAGAATAAGTTCCGTCCCCAATCAGGTCAGACGAATAACACTCATTGCAAACTGCCACAACATCAGAACTGATAGTTTTACATAATTTAGCAATATGTGACTGGAAAACATGTGTTGGATCAACTGGTGGATTTTCGTGCTAAATAATAAATAATAATTATTAGTAATGAATAAAATACTCAGTTATTAACAATGTGTGTGTCTGTTGGTGGTGGCATAGACAATGAACCAGGTTCTGCTGGAGTTGACATGACCTATAGGTAGAAAAGTTAATGCTGTCACCTTATTTTGTATTGCTGATAACATACTTCACTAGGTTTTGGAGAACGGATCCTTTGACTGCTACTCACAAAATATAAAATAAATTATTAGCAAAGCCATAATACTAATTATAATAATACACAAATCATACGGTCACTTTCAATTTCTTGAATACCTTGGTTTCTCTGTTGCCTAATAAGTATCTTAATAAATATAATACTTGTTAAATATTAAATTTTACCTGATTGGTGTCTTTAAACCAAACTTCCTCTAGTTCAGTAGGAAGTCTGTACTTAGTTGTATTGTTCTCACAACAAACTAAAGTTTGATTTGCTGGTGACAGTTTTATGTAATGAGATGGTGTTGATTGGCAACAGCTAGCACAAACATATTTGAATTTGTGCATAAATATATAACTAGTTGACTTGTTATCATCAGTCTGTCCACTGGCACACTTCTTTAAAATTTCTTCAACTTCTTTTGCTGCATCTTCTAAAAGAACTCGAATATTTTGACAAATTTTTGTGAAGGAAACTACTTCTTGATTGAGATGATGATGCTGTACATCAATCTGAATGACATCAGTACAATCAGTGACTATTACATGCTCAATAGTGGTGCTGTTGGGATCCTGATAACGGAATGTGACACGGTTTCTGTAGATGCCAATATCTTTTTCAAAACAAAGTTCCATTTTGTTTGTGAGTACAACCACAAAACGAGTGAAGAAACCAGGAGGTACATATCCACTATTGAAGGTAATATGAAGTGGTGCTGCTTGAATGATATCTGAAGGTAATGTCATTGAGCTGCTGCTAACTTGTGTGGAATTGAGAACAAGAGGCATGAAATATTGCTTGGAAGGAGGAGGATATTTATCTGTCTTAACTTCAACAGCAATGCAAAAATAAACAAGTACCTTAAGAAAAATTTCTGATGATGCATCTTTATATTCTTTCCATAGCTCTGCATAAAGTGGTTGAACAAGGATCCCACACTCATGAAACAGCTTCCATTCCTTGTAGTACCCGCCT